ATGTCAGCTAATTTTAATCAGCTAGATTTCTCAATCTAGTTTTCTGCTTCAATGAAGGACTCTGGCTAGAAGTCATTGAAAAACTGAATCTCATTTTTAGGCTCCCAGGTTCAGTTTTGTTCATTGTCGCTTTGCCCCATGTTGCCCTGCCTTGTTTAACACCTCACGGCCATGGCTATTTGTCAGCCCCTTCCTTCCAGACAAGCAGGTGAGTCCTCCAGAGATCATCTACTTGTAATGTGCCCCTTGTACCTACTCTGCGCCTCTTGCTATCAGGCAGTGATTAAAACCCCAAGCTTTTTCCCCTCATATTCATGTGTCCTGGCTATCTGTTCAATGCAATAGGGCCCGTAAGGCTGGGGCAGTTTGGCATTGTCCTTTCCACAATAAAGTGTAGGGTTGGCAAAGTTGATGTGACTGATGTGACTCACTAATTGAGCCATTTAACACAGACCAGTATGTCACCCATAAAGCATTGGACTGTAATGCTGCACAGAGCCTTCCTCAACCTTTCAGAGACAAAAAACTCCAACTTAACTCACAAATAACTAAAAATACCTTCATGCAGTTAAATTGCAGCTTTTTCTTATCTAAATTGTGAGAACTAACCAAAGATCTTTAGTTTTACTTGCTAATAAATAATCCAAGTTTGAAAAATCGCAGAGGGTTAAACACACTAAATAGGTCGGGTTCATTCTGTTAATGTTCATGTTCATGTTCTCTTTCTTTATTGAATACTTGCCCTTCTTTTATCCTTAGACTGCTATAGTCATTTGTCAATGACAATTTGTTGAGTTTGGATGTGTTCCTCTTCTCAAGAAAAGACTTCAGATTAGATCTGTACAAATACTGAGGCAGCTAACCTTGGGAAGTGTCCACTGACATCACCATTCTTAGCTAATTGCAGATATTCAGGACTGAAGTGGTAAATATTTAAAAAGGGGGGGGTGTCTCTTTCCTCAGTATGACTCCCAGGTACTTGAGACACTGCATTATTTTAAACAAGATACAATGTATTTTAACCAAGAACTGTCAAACTGTGTGCTGCAGGTATTCAAACTAGGTTTCAAACCCTATTGAAGCGCATTTGACAAACAAGTGGTATCAAGCTGATACTTCCGAATGTAAAGCGTTACAACTCCTTCTATCCTGTTAACAACCTCCTACCTCTTGGTCTTCTTTTCCATGCAGCCTATTTTATAGCAAAGCTATACTTTGCCATATAAACTGTTTGGGCTAAAACTAGTTTTAAAATCTGGGTACTGGAATTAGCTCTGTCTGTTATGGCAGAATCTGATGACACTGTTTGGAAAGGGAGAGGTGATTTTAAAGTTCAGAAGAGAGGGTTAGGTGTACTTATAGTGGTACACAGAAGACTTTTCTGGCTGCTTCATTTTCTAATTTGAAGTATATATATTTTTCTCTCTTCATCTTTTGCTGCTGCTCTATATTTGAAGGAACTGTATGTCTTGTCCTATCCCCATTTCCTCTGTGGCTTGGTCTTTGCAACCTGTTTTACCTCAAAATTGTAAACAAATCCTTTATTTTCTGTTTTAGTGTTTCTGTGGTTTCAGAAAATTTGTTTCTTTTATTTACATTCCCACTCAGAACTTCCTCTCCCATTTACTTTTGTCAGGGGCACTTCAGGGGATGATAACAGTAAGTGACTTGCAAACCTTTGCTTTGTTTATCTTGACTTCTTGTCTATCACAGCCTTGTAGAGCCACTGAGTCTCCAGAAGGACAAAGGAAAATAAGACTATTGTACCTTGAGGAAAAACCTAGGCATCATCCAGTGTTCAGGTTTTCACTATGGAGATCTACATAGCATCAAGTTCCATCTTTTATCATGCTGAGAGTGCACAGTTGCAATAGCTCTTTTATCATAGTTTTAATTAATATAATACAGTCAAAAATGCCTCTCATTCTTTGGCCTCTTGAGCAACAGCAACAATTTTCCATTCTTTTTGTTCCACTAGCATGTACATGGCCAATCATATAGCTCCTGCAATTGCCATTGTTTTTTTTTTTTTTTAATTGGTAATTTTTAATAAGTAGATACAGTCAAAGAATAAAGAGAGACATTGGAGTTTCAAATTAAAAGGGAGGGTAAGACTTTTGAACTGAATTGCTCAAAATGAACTGGGAGAGGTGCAAATCAGTCATTACAAAAATTATATAATTTTAGGTCTTAGGTTAAGTTCTGTGAACTGTTTAATGTTATAATTGGCTGCTGCCAAAGCCATCAAGTTGAATGAAGCTCTAAGTTTAAAATGTCATAAACTCTCAGCATAAAGATTTATATAACACAGGTATCTGACCTACCACCACACGACAGGAGGTATTTGTTAAGGCTTATTTGAGTCTTGCAAAGTGGAAAAGGAATGGACTAGAGAAAGAAAACATACATCTTCTGGACAATATCAAAACAGTATGAATCTAGTCTGATATCTGAGCAGTGAATTCAGAAAGCTGTGATAAACATAGTTGTTTCTTATTAAAAAATAAGATTTGATACTTCAAGTGGAAAATTTGTGTGTTTATTATGATAAATGAAGGTGGTTAATGTCAAATCTCAACAGTGTGTATTCAGCAAGACTCTAGTGGAACATTTCATAAACTAAATATACACTTTCTGACGTGTTGCAGGCATTCAATGGCTCTCACCCATACACATCTTCCCTATTTCTTTTCACCAGTGACCAACAACAAAGTTGCACTGGATTTGTCTGCATACCATACCACAGGGTTAGAATATGGTGCCATTTACTGGCCTAAATAAAGCAGTGTTGCATGGGCTGTTGCAGTGAATTCGGGGGACAGGATAAGGAGTGGTAGAAACCACCTTGCAAATTAATCAGGTGGTAACCCCTCCTACAAGGAAAGCCTTACAGCTTGGTGATGTATTCAAAAAGTTGCAAGCAAATCCATGAAAAAGATGTATTCTTTGCTTCTTATTTCATAGTTTTAAAAAAGGTTGTTAGTAGATCACATAGAAAATATCCTACATATCTAAATATCCTTCCATATTAATGTGGGTAAAGAGGAATTTCTCATATCTGCAATCAGTCTGCGTGTTTGTGACTTCTTTGCAATAGTGGAACCTGCATGGGTGCCTGCATGGGACAAAGAAGTGGAATGAGTAAAGATGGATAAAAGATTTGAAGTTTAATAGCCAGTGAAGCTGCCTGCTCATCATTTACAATATCATGATACCTAAGGCAGTTATTTTATTGAGGTAAACAACAAAGTAAATAAGGAAGTATTTCTAGCTGTTCTAATGGTAGATGAACTGGTCCTGTCCTGCAGTTCATGTTTAAATAGTAGAAGTTTCATACAAGGTAATGGAGTGGTTTTCTTATTTCCAGCCATTTCTATGGATGCATTCCTTCATTGAAAATAAATGCCAGAAGCCAGTAAGTACCTACTGCCTGTACTGTATTCTTGCCAGAAAATCATCCAAGCTTGCATTTATAAAGATGTTTTACTTCACTCTCCCAGTTTCTTCCTCACAAGCACTTCCCTAAATAAATAACAATCAGTTGACTCTTAGAGGGGAGAAGATGATGGTAGCTTTGCACAAAAGAAGTGAGAGTCACTAAACAGTGTTTCATTTGCATGTCATTCTTCATATAAAAACACTGAAAAATCAAAGCTCTTAGAAAACTACCTGTCCATCCACATTTACCTTCTCTTCCACTTTATTTTATTCCTGTTAATTAAGTCACTCCCAGCAAGCTACATTTCTGCACTTTTGCTTTTGTCACTGAGACCTTTTATCTCCTATCTCAAAGAACAGAACATTTAAAAATATGATTATTATCTATCCCTTCCATTCCCCCCTCCCATTTCTTCCAACTCAAAGAAAAATATTTCTTCCAGACAGTGTCCATCCTGACCAAATTTTTCCATCCCCATCACTTAGGCATTGTTTTTTGTCTCCTCTGGTTAGGTCTTGTTTGGAAACTCATTCTCTTTTACTCTAGACCCAGGTCTTCATTACCTTTTACCATTCAAAAGTACAGATAGGAATAGGACTGAAGTAAGGAGTCAGATACTCTTTCACAGCAGTAAAAACACATAATTTTTGTGGGAAATTTCTGCCCAAAATTTCATTTGCAGTAAATTTCATATGTCTTTTTCAGGTACACATCTGATTTCAAAACCAAGCAAAATGAATTAAAGTTCACCAAAAATGAAAACAGAAAATCTGAACAAGTAAATAAAGTGACCAGCTGCAGCGATAACATTTATATTAATTTCAATTTTCAGGCTCCATTTTTCTACTCTTTTGTAGTAACATGCCTACTTCTCAACTTATTTTTCCTAAATAAACCAGGTTTACAGAATTAACAGGTGCCACAAGTAAGCAAATGTGCATCTCTTCTGCAATTTGTGTAGCACCCAGTTTCACTTCCAATTTTGTGGGGTTGAGAATAGGTCTCACTATAAAACTTATGATTTGCCTTATGCCAGAGACCAGAGCAGGGTTAATGGGAACTGTCTGCTCCCTTCTTGCACTGATCAGGTGGAGGCTGATTTATAGAATTCCTTCTGCAGTCCCTGTTTGTAAAGCAGACAAAAAACCCCGAACTAACCCAGTACACACCACTGTGCACAATCCTGCCAAAACCTTTCTGTTTGCTTTCAGGTGTAAGAAGCCAGAATTATTCTGATAGGGTGGAGAGTTCTGATGACTGGCATGCAAATGTTCATAAAAACTGTCCCACTTTGCTCCAGTTCCTGTTTATTACTTCTTATTCTTTTCAGTATCAGTAAATCCCTTCAAGGCTTCTGTTATTATTGAAGAGGAGCCCACCTGGGAATGTTTAGGTGCTTTAGTAATAGCCTTAGGCCCAGATCTAATGTCTACTGAAAAAAGGATTCACTGCTCAAAGGAAATACTGATGACAATTCGTTAGGGCATCATAAAAAAAATCTCTTTCAACTTATAAATAAAGCTGCTAGATATGTGAACAAATACTGTAGGTTAGCACTTACTGTATACAGACTGCAGGATGCACATAGAGATGTCCTGTAGTCCAACCTTCCTTTAAAAGTTTCCTAAGTCCTTAAAAAAAAAAAAAAAAAAAAAAGAAAAAAAAAAAGAAAATGAGTTCACAATGTTTTAAACTATAATATAAATCGACTGATCTGCTATTAATACAGTTCCTGCACTGTCTGAGGTTTGAGACACACATGTGTAATTCTTCAATGGCATTCTGTGTGTTATCTGGAAGGTCTCTCATTGCTGCTGCATCAATGCAAACCAGACTACACCCAGGCGAACAAAGGAAATTTAACTTTCATAAGTTGGTTTTAAAAATGCATTTACTTTGACTGCATTGAAAGAATCTAAAAAAAGATGAAAAGCATCTTTAGCATGCCCAAAACATCTGGTTTCATATTTTGAGACCAAAAGGAAATTGCATGAAGACTAAAATCTTGTTTTGATTTATATTATTATTGGAGGGCTGAGAAGCTGCCAGTCATAAAATAAAATTTTATGATGATAAATAAATAAGGAAAACAATCTGACAAAACATGTTGTGGAACAAAGCTCCATTTCAAGTTTAATTAACTGATAACAATGTTTATGATAGAAGAACTGTGCCACCAATTATACAGCTAGTAAATGCACGCTACCAAAGCAAAGACTGGCCTATAAAAGACTGGCTAAAAAGGTTTCTCCTGCAGCAAAATACTTCCAAACACAAAAGAGAAGGTATTCTCCATGTAGTAAATCATGCAGCAATTAAGACCCTCTTTGAAGATGCTTATTATTCTTTATAGATTGTATGACAATTGCTCTGCTTCAATTGCACATTGTAAATTGCACAATAGTAGTAGTTCCTGCTTTCTAATATGCCTACTGATAGTGCCTGGAAAAGCTGACAGTTTAGAAATTGTTACAGGAAAGATATATCCGTGGGGAGTCAAGTAAAAAATAAATGTTTTCAGCTCTGCAGCACTTTTCCTTTTCCCAAAACCTTGTATGCAATCGTAAAAAAGTGTTCCAGCAAGAAGATTATTTTAGAAACATGAAGATCAGCTGCGTTCTGCAGGGAGAAGTGATCCTTAATCTTACATGTAAGAGTTCAGCCTCTTTTCTGGTAACAGAGCCTTGCATTTAAAATTGCTGCATACTTCCAGTCCTTGTGGTTTAAAGACATTGGGATCACAGCCATGATACACAGTACAAATCATTAACTTTCAGTTTATGCTATACTATAATTTGCCAGTTACTGTATAAAATGCAACATACAAAATACAAGATTTTGTATTACAGATATTATGAATCACTTGCTAAAATAATGCTGACATTTCTGTGGATACATTAAAAAAACTTGGCTCCTATTCCGAGACTACTCCTTTTTCAACTTCTGTAATAATAAACCACATTTAGGAAGCCCTGAATTCAGCTATCTGAAGGAACAGTATATTAACTATTCTGATCACATGCCTTATCACAGCTTTTCACCCCATTAACTGTAACTGAGCAGTGAACTGTTGGCCTGACTACAACCCCAGTACAAGTCCTGCTTGTCCCTTCCTATCTCCCTTCCCACCTGCTGTTCAGCTTAAAGCCACAACTCTGTCAGAAAACAAACAAACAAAACCCCCCATTCAAACTGAGTGTTAAAAAAAAAACATAGGAAGTAAATCTTTCAGACGTTTCCCAAAAGAAAACATATAGTGGAATTTGTGTATATTGACAGCAAAGGTTTTCAAGCTGAATGGAAAGATCTCCTCTGTCAAAGTCAACACTTAACAACACAGTAAACTTTCAAATGAAGTAAAAAAAATGTTGTAAAAAACTTCTATGATTTTAGGTTACATACACTTACTGCAAGACAGAGAAAGAATAGATCAAAAGCATTCTGAAGAATTTTTGCTGCTTTAGTAATAAGCCCAAAATACTTGGAATTTATATTTCCCTAACTTCTTTGTTTATCCACATGCAATAATTCTTCCCTTGACTGCACTTTGCTACCCTTTCTTTACCTGTCTCGTTTCTTCTCCTATTCTGCTTGAAATATGATAGTCTTCTCTGTCCTCTAGTTTGGGACTGTTTTTTATTTCTTAGGTGCGTGTAAAGCTCTCACTTTTTTCACCAGTTAAAATGAGACTGGGGAGTCTATGTTTCTTGTGGTTTCTTCTAAATACACGCACAAGCAACTTAATATCCTCTCTCCAGTCCTGGAGGGAATTACTTCTGGCATGTTTCAATTCATTATCTTGAATCTTAATCAGCTGATGAAAAAAAAAAAAAATTAGTTTCATCAGCTGATGAAGGCCTAGAGTAATGAATAAAAACATCCTGATCAAGACTCCCAGCTGCACTGAATGGGAGTCTACAAGCTATGCCCTCACTGCACTCTTACAATTAATTAATAAATTTCCCTCTTCTCTGTACCCATCAGAAATAAACAGCTACAGGATATTAGATCATATGAAAGATTATTGTCTCCTTCAGTCATTTGGTGTCTTACTCCTGTAAATCTCCAGAACAGGTTTTACAAATCTTAACATGCTTAACTTCTTGAAAACGAAGTGAGAAAGGATGTTGTTGACTTTGAAATGCAATCCAGTCATTGCAATGGCATAAGGATCTTTAAAATATATTAATAATATAAGTGACTGAAACCTTTCAATAAAGTTTATGGTTTCAGGCATCACATTTTCCAACAGGAAAACAAGGAGAGAAAATACTTTCATTCTCAAAAGAGTTTACATGTAAGGTGTACATAATAAAAATAAGAACATGTACCTGCTAAAATAGAAAAGGGAAAATAAATTGCAGACAAAATTTTAAAAAATGTACAAAAATTGAAATTAAAAAAAGGGCAAGTACTTTTTAATATTCTATCATAATAGCTATAGGTGTCCCATATAAATATGGTAAATAAACAAGTTTAACAGAACTATCTGTCTTTAAATAAACTATTTCTTCAAGCTGATACACAAATATCATGAGAAAAGAGCCTCTCACTCTCAGATCCCTTTTGATTCCTTGATGCTACCCTGTGTTCAAATAGCCACTTTCTCTTGGAGTCACAGCTACGTGGCAATTGGCACAGTAATCACACCGTACAGTTATCCCTGCATTAGTGACCTCCAGACTGCATTACTGCAACTCAGACCTAGAAATTAAGCCGTACGACCTGAAAAAGCTCCACATGAGGGAAAACATGACAAAATATCTGCTTAACAAAGCAAATTGCCACATTTATCCACTTCAAGGTCTCCATCTTGATATTTAAACCTCTCAATATGATATGAAATCTCTGTGCCTCTACCTATAGGATCACCTTCATCTACAGGCTGTGATGTTGTCACTCTGAAACCATGAAACTGTGGGGGAGAAGGAGCAAATATGAAGTGGAATACTCAGAATCCTTACAGAAGCCATATAAAAACTTCAGGTTTCATATCCTGGTGACAAAAGCTATTAGAAACTGCAGATCTACCTCAGAAGCCATGGCCCTGTGCAAAAAACATCTCTGACTTGTCTTTCCCTTCACCTACACAAATGTGAATCAAGCTGTTTTCCTTCTAATCCAGTAAGAAAGAGAAAATGGTATTGCTATTGTCATGATGATGAATAAGAAGAGTGGAAGAAAGGAGGATGTGTTGATCACATGGATCTTATCTGGGCTGACACTAAGAGTAGCTGAACAAAATTAAAATGAATTTCAAAATTTCATGAATAAACTCTGCATGTTGATGCATGACCTTACGTGAAAAACTTTGCTTAGTTGTCTGTAACTTCTCCAGCATGTCCCATTAATGATCTTTTTCTGAACAACATCATATTCTAGCAAAATCTTCATTATCCTCTATCTGACCACTGCCATATTCAAAAGAAGAGATGGAAAAAATAAAATGCAAAGCACAGAGGAAACTCCACTTAAAAAGCCCAAGAAATCTCAAGCACTGTACAAATGCAGCACTCAATTGTAAAGATGAAGGTAAAAAGATGTCCCCAAGGCAATCAGGAGGTTTGAATTTCTAGGATATAATGCTGACAATAACCAAATAAGACTGCCATGATCTGAAATGTAATAAATATTATTGCTAGCAATGTCATCGCTATTGTATATGCTATTAAAAAAATAAGGATACAAAAATGCAGTTTCTACATGTTAAGTGTTACAGTAAGCAGCATATAAGAATCAGAAAACAGAAATAAGGATTGGACTTTTACAGATTTTTTTTACCCTGATTTGCATTCTGTGTCATCACACTGGCTGTTGTGACATTGCATATCTAATCAGGTTAGAACTGGCTGCTTTTAACTAGAACAGGATCTGAGACTGCTAATTTAGCCCTGTTATTGACTTCACAGACTCTTTCAGCAGCCTTCTGACTTGGTTACAGGGGTCTCCACCTGACTGAGATCCCACTTGCTTGCTTATGATTTGACAGCCTTTATTTGACACCTGCATATTTCACTCAGTGACTGAATCACTCCAAGTAATTCTGGAATGACCACATATGTTTCTACACATACAGAACTCAGCAATGACAGAGAGGGTGTAAGCCTGTCTGTCTGGACTGGTGTTATACTGGCTCAGAGTTCTTTTAGATCAGCAATGTGATAGTTTTCAGTCCCAAAATGATAAGCTCCTGAAGACAGTTTACAGCCATGCTTTCCCACTCCTTACTTTGGTAAGGATGTGCTATTTTTGTATTCAGTGTTAGCAGAGGCAGTTACCTCTGCCACTTGTTGGGATATCAGCTGAGTTTATTTACTTTGATGCATCCTACTGCTTTTGCCTTGGCATTTCTGAGTTTCTCTGCAGTTATGCTGTTCCACCTGTGATATATCTATCTGTTATATCAGTCCTTTCTTATTTGGCCCTTTTTAGTGCTTCCTTATTATGCTTTTTAAACCTGAGAAGTGGGGAAAAAAGAAAAAGCACTCGCACAAAGAGCACTGATACCAAATTGTGTCTTTGTAGCAAAAAAAAAAAGATTTACAGGAGACAAAGGAAGATATGTTGTCATGGTCTCACGTCTAGCCTTAATGCTACACAAAGAGTCAGAATAGCTGAGTTCCTAATAAAT